CAGCAAAGTTCCTAAACAGTCAAAGGTGACATTGCAGACATCATTCTGGGGGGGATTTATATCCACAAGCCATTTGGAAGGGTAGTCCTCATTCCTCATTGAAATTCACAACAAAAACGTCGACCCCCTTTGGCTGCAAGGCCAGGCCTGCTGTCCAATGCAGGCCAAGACTGAGTCACGAAATGGAGATCTACTTTTGCTCGGTTGCTTTCTGCTCCTCTGCTAAACGTTTAACTTTTAGTGGGTTAATGGCAACCCATTCGTTGGCAAAAAGTTAAAGTCCTAGCATCCAAGCAACATGCACCAAAGTGTTTTGTGGTAACCCCTCAAAAGGCGGCACAGGCACGCTAGGATCCCAATGGGACGCCGTTCGGCCGATTTCGGGCCACTTTGCCGGTCGAATCAGACTGCCTCGTTGCTGAGGATGTACATGTTGACCGCCGCCCTGGGAAGGTCCGGTCAGGGCCATGTGCTCGCAGTCTGTGATCTGCGTGCATGTTGGGTGACTATTCCAAATCTATGTCTGACTCTCTAGCTCTCTCTCTCTCTCTGTCTATATATATATATATACATTATGTGTTTCTCTAAATGAATATAAATAAATGTGCATATGTGTATATATATATATATGTATATATAGAATGTGTCAGTTGTTGCGTGGGGGTAAGGTCCAGCAAAAAGGGAATCATCACGCTGGGAGAGAAACATCTCAAGTGAATCAACCAACCTAGTCCGGGCTCCACCAGCCGGCTGAGTGTTGGCTTCTGGAGGGACAGACACATTCCACATGTTCACTGCCTGTCCGGCGTGGGGAGCAAAGTCAGAGATGTGACAATAGGGGACCCTAAAATTATGGCTTTTCTTTGCGCTTCCCTTTGAATGAACCAAAAAAAACGTGCAAGAAGCAGTGTGTGCTTCGTGAAGCAGTGAAGTTTGGCGCCAGAAACTGGCAAGGCCATGTAAGCCAAAGAGGGTATAGGAAACTAACTATGCCATGCCTTGTGTCAAGAAAAAATCAACCCCAAAAAAGGGTACCCTCCAAAATCTCCACGCGACCATATTGGAGACCCTCTCCAGCCAGCCAATGCGGGGCACGATCTCTGTTTCTCGGTGTCTGGCCAATAGGTGTGTGTGTGTGTGTTTTGTTGAGGCTGCTGATTGTTTGCAGAGAAGTCGTCAAATATATTAAAGTAACCTCTGCTCCTTTCTCTCGCAAACATACAGTTGGCGGTATGCTTTCGGAGCTTGTCAAACCTTGATTTGTTACACAACATGTCAGTTCATGTTTGCTGGTTTCTGGCCCGCTGTATTGTTCGGCTTGTTAAAGCAACAATCCTAAAGACTAGTGTTGGCAAAGCATTCGCAATAGATATTGTCATTAAAACGTGTGACGTTTCGTTTCAAAGGATTCGCGCGGGAGGCAAGTGGCTGCCTGTATTCGCGCGGGGGTTCTGGAGGGTCCCGAAAAGCAGCATTGGAGAGACATTTTGCTCGAGTGATGATCGGAACCTTGCAGGCGCCTTGAAGTAGTATTGATTGGCAGTCGGGACGTCCCTTTATAAACAAATCAGCCGCCACCGAAAAGGAATATCTCATCCTTCGTTTTAAAGACTTGCCTGTAGCTTTCACCCTTCACGCTGACTGTCCCGTGCACTAACCGAGGCAGCTCGAATCAAACGACCTTCGCAATGAATATCTCCCGGGTAGCGTGCACGTTAGGAACAAGCCCTTCCCCGAACCGGGGAGTATACAAGGCTTTGACTCAACATGGGCAAAGAGAACCCATCTCATTTGGCGTATTCCGTTTGAGACTCCCAAAAAGTTTCCAGGAGGAACCCAGAAAAGAAACCTGAATGTATTTGGAGAAGCCCAGGGGAGACAACCAGTTGCCCCTGGGTGCAACTTGAACGAATCGGGACCGGGGCCGCAGCCACTGCACGCGGTGCCCGAAGAATCCTCCGGCAACACGCAAAAGGCAAGAGTTGCAAGTCGTCATTCAACAAAAAGAACGTCTTTCTGTCCATTGAGGGTGATTCCAAGTGTTCACTTCCTGGCTGGATTGGACCAACTATGTGAACTGTGTGTTTACCACAAACTTATACCAAATGGTTTTCCCAAAAAGAAACAAGTCTAAAAACTCCGAAAGTAAGGGCATCGGTTCAATCATCGTTTTGTTCTAAGCGCCCTTTCCATAAGCTGGTTGTAATGTATCCCTGGAAACGGGGCCCTAGTGTTGCTTCACAAAATCAAACACCAATTGAACACTTCCATTTGCTTAAGCCCCCCCGATAAAAAAAAACTTCCAGTAGTGATAGACTCCCTGTAAGACCAACAAGGGGAAATAAAACCAATATTCTTAATTAGCAAATGGAAGAACACTAAGCTTCAAACAAAAGACGTGACACGACATGCGCGGCGCGCAGCCCGAACGCCGCAAAAAAGGGTGAATCGTGAAGCTCAGCAACTCAGCGACATCAAATTCGCGGATCGGGTTGCTTGATGGGATGGTTGCTAAAAACTGGGTTCCAGCTTCTTTTCAGTGCCCTCGATCCATGTTGAAAACCACGTCAAGTGCCCTTCATTGAAGGGCACTAAACATATGCTGCACGGTTGCTAATGTTGACCCCAGATTCATCAACCAAGGCTAATGAATCGGGGGTGGGGGCCCCTGCAAAAGTGGTCTGAATCCCCACTAAACCCAGGGTATTGGCGAACTGGAGTTGACTAATCTGCTCTCCTGTCCGCCAACACGGAACCCGCCAATGTCGAATGCTTCGTCGGGACGCTATCATTTTCCAAAACTTCAAAGGTCAAATCACAGAATAAGCAGCAATTGAATGGGCCATTGTGCACTTTTTTACTCAAGAAGGACTGGTGAATACTATACTCTCTCTACCCCAAGCGATGCATACTGAAGCGATGTGTTCAGTTGTGTCAAATGTTGGGACTCCACATGTGGTTCGGCCTCTTTCAAACATGGCAGATGCGATGTTGGTTACCTTTCACAAAATGAGTCACACTCAGAACCTAGTACTGAAGTGGTGCCCAATTCATGTGCACAATCAGAAGGGCTTCTGACCCTGGCCCTTTCCTGTTTATGCCTGAAATCCTGTCCCTTGCGACCCTTCACTCGGCCTTTGTCCAACGCCGCACCACAACCCACAACCCCACCTTTCTTCTTCGAGCGAGTGCAGGAGAATCGCAGCAGCCCCGCCTGAAGTCCCAGTGCTGCCATGGTTCCCTCACCCGCCCCTTAGGGACCCAGGACCAAAAGGTTCAACCTGGGGCCATGACTACATTGGGCTGTCCTCAGATCCCCTGCTAAAAGTTTAACTTTAGTTGGTTAAATGGAAACCCCCGCTAAACCAACTAAAGGTCTAAAAAGCTAAGGAACTGGATGGCCGGCAACCACCCAGTAAAGCTGGAGCAAGGGGAATTCCGACCGGGCCCAAAGGTTGAGCTTTAAGTCCGGAAAGGGGTACCTCTGTTGCCCCGGGACCTAGAAACAAAAGCTGAAAAGTTCCGTGACCCTGGGGAACAAGGGAACCCCTTCTTGGGAAGACCACTTTTAGTGGGGCAGCCACCAAGAAAAAGGAAAAATAGTGCCACTGGACAACTGAGTCTTGGAACTGTTTACTAAAAACCAGTCGCCAAAACGGGACAACGTACAGGTCAAAAGGTCGGCTTGGGGCAGCTGAGGCACATCCAACATGCGTTTCGAGCACAAAAAACCCGACGGCCAAGGTTTTTTATTGTGGTGACTGGGAGCCGCAGGGAAAATGGTTGTAATCACGTAAAACCCACACTTACAGGTACTATATCCTGGACCGGCTATGACAGTAACCGGGGGGTCCACTAATACACGCACGCTGCCTCAGCGCGGAAAACCAGTTTGCTACAGGTTTTACATGTGCGTTGGTTGTGCGCTTCGTTGTGCGCGTTGCGCGCTTTTGCTTCACCTGACTTGCTATACAATTGGCTTGCCCAACGCGAGGCACTTCCATATGCGCACCAAGTCTTGCGCCAATGGGCGCAAAAAACGCTTGAGAGCCAAAAGGAAGCAACACAGTCTCAAGCTTGATCTTTGTGCATCGAAGCGGCGGCTCAAGATGCTCGTTATCGAGGGTCCAGCGATGACCAGCACTAGAGGCTTTGTACTACCAGGGAGCTGTTAGATGGTCCAAAACTTCCATTTGCTTGAGCCCCCTGAAAAAAGAAAACATTTTTTTCAGTAGTCATAGGTTCCCTATAAAACCAACAGGGGAAAAACACACATGTTAACTCCAGGGCTGCGCTTCTGGAAAAAAAGCGCTCGATCCAGTGGTCCGGTGCCTCTGGTGAATCCTAAAGGCAAGGATTTGCACCAAAAACTGATGCTTCCGGCCAGGGCCCTGGCTGGTTCATGGGAAACAACTCCAAGACACCATGGGCCTAGTCCGAAATGAACAAGGAGTGAATACCCATTTAAGTCCACCTCCACCTGGCTCGCTTGCCCACTGGCAAGTACAAATTCAGCCGCAGTTCTTGGATCATTGAGTTGTTCTGCGCCGACAAACTAGATGTTGCGGAACCACAAAACGGGCCCTTGCTTATTGAAGTCAGCTTCCGCTTGGTGGTATATAAATGGGGCCAAGGCCCAAAACTCATTTGACCACCATTAAACAGTGCCTAGACAATAAGCCGACACCTGGCGTGATGTTGACTCAACACAAATAAAGCACAGTTTGTTAATAGAAGCGTGTCCCTGGGTGTATATTGTGGGAATTCAGACCACTTTTGGAGAGGAACACCCCCATACTAATAAACTGGGGTTGAGAAATGTGGGGGACAAACTAGTGAAGTGACAAATTGCTACACCCTAGTCTCCATTGTTTGTGCGGCCCTAGCCTGAATGAATGCCCATGTTGTTTTTTGTGTGCAGTGGTTCGGAAGTTCAAGGTCCTGTTTTTCGGAAAGCTACAGGAGAGTGCTGTGTGGGGCGCTTGGAATTTTACAGGGTGTGAATTGCAGCAGTTGCTGGATGTTTTAGTGGCCAAATATCCTTGAATATTGACCATGAGCACAAGTAGCTACAAAACCAAGTTTCCGAATCGCGGCAAGTTTCTGAATCGGTCAATGCTGTAGCTACAAAGCCCTTGAAGTGTTCAGTGATTCCAAACATGGAAACGTAATGGCGTGGCTTACCAGACTTGCAAGGCCTGGTAAGAAGCGTTGGCCGTTGAAACGAAGCACCCTGTGGAATGCACGGGGCAGGGAGGGAATCAACCGGCCTACACCAAGTCGAATGGAAGGCACCCTTTTTGATTGGTTTTGAGGGGAAACCAACAGGAAAACCACCATGTTAGTGGGCGGGTTTGTGGGGTACTAACTGAAGAAATATGTCGTGATCAAAGCAACGTCGTATAGAAACTAATCCCACGGCGTCCCTGGAATCTAAGAAAAACCGAAACCAGATGAGGGTGATTCCGTTTCTGGTGGGGCAACCATTAAACAAGACGGGAAATGAAGGGGAAACTCCACCAGACAACGATATTTTCTAGAATTTGTTTGTGGCGTATTTGATGGCACCAACGTCAGTCCTCATGCCAGATGTCTGTGTTGCTCCTTTCTCAGTTGCCCAAGGGACCTGGAAATAAAAGGTTAACCTTTTGGGGCCATGACTAAACATGGACCAAAACGGGAAAACTACAAGCTCAAAAGGTCGATTCACTTTGGCCAGCTGAGCTTATATTGCTTCTCTCATCTTGCCCTTGCCCTCCTCTGGGCCTAGCAAACACGGGCGGAATCGAACTCATAGATAATCATAAAAACGGCTCAACCCCGAGAGTGAACATCCTGGATTCATGGAATTCAGACTAAAATCCTGGGTCTCTGCAAGGAAATGAACACCCCGAAACGGGAGCCTTGCAAAGCCTCTGCAGGTAGATGGCCAAATCCTGAAGCTGACCTCGGGGGGACGCGCTGTGAATGGGTGTGCCTCGCAAGGGAGAAACCTGCCAGGTGTGGTTTTTCTACCGGTTGAGTCCTTTTTCCATTCTTTCCAACCATCGTTCTTTTCAAAAACCAGAAGGATCCTGGAAAGCTTTTGTTTGGCTCTGGGGGGGTCTTTTTGCCACCTGTTGTGAGAAAATTGGCAACCCCCTCAACAAGGAATGCTTCACTACAAGGGGGTCGATCATTTTTCCACCAAAGGTGGCAAAAAGACCCCCCTGGTTTGGTTTTCCTAAGCACAACGACAAGGGTACCCTCAAAAGACAGAGCCACATGTTTAAGCGCCCCTTGACTTAAAACTCTAACAACCTCCTTTTGTTTCCATGTTTTAGGAAGACCAGGGGCTGACCAACCCTAGCCAGCTGGATTCCCGAAAAAAACCTTCCCCGTGGTATGGAAGCGGGTTTGTGCTGCTTCCTGGTTGCTTTGATTGCGGCTCCTGAATTTCTATGAAAAGCCATGTTTCGGGGAGGCGGCTTGGGGTTCAGGTTCCCCCAATCAAACATGCTTTCTCAATGTCGCAGAAGGAATATGAAAGCATAATCAAAACCCGGTACTAAAATGGTCTACCCAGAACCATGTCAAGAATTAAGGAGGAGGGCGCAGCTATTTATGGCTGGGAGCATCCCTTACTAACCTTCATCTACCCGGGTTTTGATTGTGATGCCCGCTTCTCCACTTCTATCTTTGAAGCTAGGGGATCTAAAAGCAAGCGAACCAACCCCATCCAACAGTGACCGTTTTCTAGGGCCTTGCCTGGCTTAGGGAAACCACCAGGAAACCGACGGCAGGCGCCGCTTCGGGGGGCCTTTGAGCTTAAAAACGAGCCGCCCATGCAAAGCATCCGCTCCTTTCGAGAAAACAAACACCAACGGGTAGGTCCAACTGCACAGCGATGAAATACCAAACGGTCCCTGTACCTAGCAATGCAAATTTCAATTCGGATAATCCGGAGGACCGTAGTCCAGGGGTGGTTCCCTTTTTCCCTTTCAGTAGCGAAAAAAAATAAATGTGTGGGGTTCCTCTGATTGTTAGGGTAATGGACCCTGTCAAACCATGTTGACATGGCGCTATGCCTCTAGCCTGGTCCAAACAGCCAGCGAAATCAGACCATGCGTGCATGAGAAACCCCACAAGGCAGCAAGATGTCATCAATGAATCGCTCGTTTAATCTGTGGTGGTAATTGCCTGGGCTGTTCAACAGATCGCCAATCCGAATTTCTGTAGGCATTGATCTGCAATCCGTAGCGGGGCCATCACTTCAATTCATGGGAAGCCGCTACCATCAGTGCAGGAACCCCGGGATTCAAACCACCATTAAAACAATGGGGGCTTATCTAACCACCATCTTTTACCTAAGGATTGTCATCGTCCAAATTGGGTCAACCTTTCTGTTCATGGGGCAAGGAACTTTGGGGGTAAGGATTGAACACTCGCAAGGCTCTCTCAGCTCCCATCTAGGCGCGCTGCGAATAGTGATGGCACGATTCTCGTAGCCAGGTATCCGCTCGGGTTTCCCGTTCAGCTTCCATGGCAGTGGCATTGCAAGCAGGGCCGCTTGATTCTGGTATATTAAATATGTTCATGTTCTGTCCTCTGCCTTGGCTGTGCATTGTGGTGGGTGAGATTTGTTTGGGAGATCGTATTGATTGTTTGGTTGGGCGATTTGTTTGGGAGATTTGTTTGTTTGTTTGTTTGTTTGTTTGTTTGTTTGGGTGCTCTTTAGCAATTGCCTCTACTGCCAGCAAGCTCATTGCACGCCGGTCCATGCGCCCGGGTGGCTGTCTAACGCGCGGTTCATTATTTGCACAAATCATCTCTCCATTGTATAGCAAGCCAAAGCTCGCGCAAGCTCCGTCAAGTGCGTCTTGGATAGGGCGGGCCTCACCTAGTCGGCATGTCAAATGTGTCATTTTGACACGAGTTGGACTTCAAACATTGCAGTCCACTTGGGTGTGGCTCAAAACTAAAGGGGAGGGGTTACGCAGGTTGTGGTCCATGTTTCCACTTACCAGGGTTCCATGTTGGTACCGGTTTTTTGAGCCACAGCCAACCTAAAATGGGTACCCTCAAGACACACGAACCCAATTCTCGAACTTCGATCCAACCCACGCAGCCGCAATTCGTCAGGAGTGTAAAAACCACTCGGAGGTGAAAAACATGGTCCTTTGGTGCAGTGAAAAGGAACTCGTTTGTGGGAACCCGTTCAGGGTTCCCTGAATAGCAAACAGTCAAGCTTAAATTGATGTGATATGATGCATGGAAAAATCCACTTCGCGCCAGCTGGGACACACCACCTATCAGCTGGTGCAGGAGTTCGTGCATCAGTGCCAACGTTGATTGCTTCATACTCATCGTAAATGAACGGACGTGTGGCCCTAAAACAACTTGTTCCATAATGAATCATGAATGAACAACCAGCTTTCAATGGGACCCTGCCGCAGGTGACCCTGCCCCTTAAACAAAAACACCGACTAAACATGCATCAACTGGTGGGACCGGTGCCCCCAAACCAGGCAGAGGTCACCGATGGACTTGTTTGGGTTTCTTTCTGAGTCCGGCAGGCATTCAGGCTCCAGCAACGCAAAAAGGGCGGTGCTCTTCGCAATTTTCAGGGAGTGCTTTTTCAACCCCTCTTCCTCTTGTTGCAGTTGAATCGGATTTAGATATATATATATATATATAAATCCCCCCTCCTTTTTTAAGGGAAGTCCCAGAAGGTAAAGACAACCATGGATGCTGGATACAGAAAGGCCCCCCCTTGTTTTGCTTAGGTCCCCGTGGGAGTCTCAGTTGTTAAAATGTTTGGTCTGCTTTCATGTTGCTCCCCCTCCTCCTGAACGGTGGAACCAGTTACGGGGGTTCTCTTTAGTGCAAAACCTGGGATCTGGGTTCGACTCCGACTTGCCGATACTTAATTTAGTACTGCCAACTCTGTTTTAGAATTGCCAAGACTTGCTCTCAGATTCCCAGCCCACCAAAAAGATTGGACATGAAAGCGACCTCCAAAACAGTCACATTAAACAGAATCAGTGCCTCTTGTGGGCAACCCATTTGTATAACTGATCGCCCTTACTTTGTTCTAAAGAAGTTATCTTAAATCATACAACTTGCAAAAACAACTAATGATTGCCCGGATCTGTTTGCCCGGACTTGTTTGCCCGAATTGGGTGGCCCGGTTCCTTGCCCATAATTTTTGTTCAAGCAGACAACTGTCCATTAAAGCGACCTTCGCAGCAGCAGGCACAAACTGTTGATTAAAGCGGCACAATTAAAAAGCGGGTGCGACATTACACAAGGAGAACCATGATTGGTGGGGAAGCCCCCCCAACAAAATACAGAGCCGGAACCAAACTATGAAAATCTGGCTAGTTTTTCAAGAGGGCAATGGACAATTCGTGAGAAGTTTACTGGGCTGCCCCGAGCTCCCCTGCTGACAGTTTTCCATAGACACCACCATTAAACTAACAAAAAGAACCTGCAAAGCTAAGGAACCGGATGTCAGGAGCGAGCAAACCATAGACCTGACTTGCCCCCTTGGGGACCTAGAAATAAACGGGTACCCAATTGGGGCCACGCTACAAATGCACCAATATGGGAAAGCCCAAATGTCAAAAGTGAGCTACCATATTCTCGACCCCTTCAGGTCAGAAAAGTCCATTCCGATGCCCATCGCCTGCGTTCGTCCTGTAGCCTCCAGCCAGCCAGATGCCCGGCCTGGCAACAGAAACAAGTGGGGTCAACTTGGACATGAACTTCCTACCTCCGTCGCCCAAAAAAAACACACAGAAATAAACGGTTGCCCTCACTCCCACTAACATGGCACTTGACAGGGGGGCCTACAAGATGGACACGATCTTCCAGGTACCCTCTCACAGGTGCTATGTTTGTGGAAGGGAGGGTAACCTGTTGGGGCCATGACTAAAAATGTGCCAACAAGGGAAAACAAAAAGGTCAAAAGTCGGGTTCGAGCAAGTGAGCTACTGTGAATGGATAAAGTCCTGCGCCGAAGAAGTACTGGAATGACGATTCCACTGTTAAGAACCCAAAAACACTGGTTTTTCTTGGGTTCAAAGTGGTGCAGGATATCGTCCATCCGCGGTGTTGCCTTACTCCGCAATTGGTGGTTTGGCTTGGTGGACGTTGGAGGATACTGTCCCCATGCTTCAAAAGGAACTGGGCTTCAATCCCCACCAATCCAAACCACCGATTCAGGGGTACCGGATATAAGGGCCTACGGTTGTGGGGGGGCTTTGAAGCCAACCAAGTCTTCCGAGAATCAACGTGTCAGAATTGATTGAGCTCCTTCTTAATTGGGACCCTTTGGTGAACATCATTTGCACCACCAACCACGCTTGGTGCCTGCTAGAAGCAATATGGCCGGTTGAGATTCGAAAGTCCAGTGCAAAGGAAATCACGGCCTGCGAGTTTTTCCTGAAATTGGGGGATCCTTGTCCATTCTTAAAAGGAAAATCGTGAAGACGTCTTGATGCGTTTCTTGCAAAGAAGGCAATCACAGCCTACCATGCTGTGTTCTTCCTTGTTTTCTATTCCAAACTTTAAAGACGGAGACATGATGCGTTGGACATATCTGTCTGCCTGAAACCTCCCGAGCCCTTGGCATCCCCCCCAAAAGCCAGTGCGGTCAACACACAGTTGGGACTCCTCCGTAGCGAGTTGTTGGGCTGTGCAAACAAAGTGTCTACATGTGAGCATGTATAAATATATATATATATATATACACATACATAGAGACATAGACATCCCAAACAACAAAAGAAGCAACAACTATCACCTTGGTGTGCAGAACACCCACCTGCAGCTTCCTCTCACGTACCACACATCTACATTATGCTTCTTGTCAGAGGTAACTGGTGGCATTTCCCCTCCCCTCTTCCCACCCCCCCCTTTCCCGCCCCCCTCCCTCTCCTCAACCCCCGCCCTCCCCCCGCTCTTCCCACCCTCTTCCCCCCCTCCCCCCACACCCACCCTCCCCCCCCCCCCACCCTCCCCCCCCGTGCCCCTCTAGCTCGCTCCTGCGCCACCCGGTGCCGGAAGCCCAGCCGCGTGGAGCCCTCGAAGTGCGCCTACCGCACGCTCTCTCGGTCCCTCGTTGCGGCCGTTGAGCTGACGGGGTGGATGTGGCTGTTGCTTGATGGTGCTGAGCAGGGAAGGGAATGACCCCTATAAACCATTCATGGATAGGATAGGGCACCAGCAAGTTTGTAGATCTACCAGTATGGGTGTGAATGTTAATTATGTTCGGACCCTTTGGTGGACATCAGAATTCGCTGGAGATCCATGTCCACCACTTTGGAGGGAGTTCCCCATTAAAAATCGTAGCCATATTGACAGGGTACTAATTAAGAGTACCAAAAAAAAACCAAGTGTCCACAGTATGGCTTTGGGTAAGGGGTGGGTTCCTTGCCGCCTGTGATGTGCTAAGTGGTTAAACTATTTCCTGCGCTTGGACCCTGAAGAAAAGATACACTTCAATGAACGTCCTGTCCAAGAAAAGACCGCGGAAAACAGTAATCTTCCAAAATCCTCCTGTCAGCTGCCACGATTGTTGAATGGAGCGACGGTCCCACCCAAAGAAGGGGTCAATTTCCGAACAGGCAAAGCCAAAACCTGATTTGGTCCTACCCCTTAAAGACTCAAAGCAACACTAAGCCTCGAAAGGTGTTTCCGCAACTAAGTACTCTTTTGACAATAAAGGAAGTGAACAGGCCGAGATCTGACAATGGTAGTCCCCCAAGGCCTCCTGTTCTCTTTTGCGAATTTTGGAAAGAGGGCAGCCCCCTTAATGTTAACCCCGGAATCATGAAGCCCTGGTCGATGTTGATCGGAATGTGTCCGATTGTAGTGGTGATCTGGATCACTTTTGTTCACCCTCCCAATAATAGGATGTGATGATTCATTTGAGTGTGTCTTGTTTCGTGGTTTCCTTTGGCTTCCCTTGAAAAAAGACCAAAATGGGTACCAACTCCAAGACAAGATACCTCCATTTGCTTAAGTCCCCCCGGAAAAAATGAGCCCAGTCTAATCCCTTCCTTTCAAAACCAACAGGAGAAACCAAACAACTCCTTCCCTGTTTTTTCAATTGGAAGGATACCAGTTGAAGCAGGCTGTTTTGCTAACCAAACAACATCATCGTTTTAGCAAATGGAAGGATACCCCTTTCCGGGACAACGTCCCACCCCCAAACTCCGCTCAGAGACCCGGATTCGATCGTTCGAAAACGTCCCTTGAAGCGAGCTGTTTTTTCTTTCTTCTTTTTCCGCTTGCCAGCCTGGTACTTCATGGTCTCGAAGATCACCTCGCCACCCGCGGCCTGAAGAAAAAAACGAGATCGCCCCCGTCCGTGTGCAACACGAGGGCCGACTTTTGGAGAAAACAAAGATACCCATGCAGGGATGGGATGCCGCCAGCAAGGGGTGTGTCATGGTGTGTCTTTTTTGGAAAGAGAATCACCCCATTTAGTGTGGTTTGTACACCAAAACTAGGTCCTCCAGTAGAGAGCTTAGAATACGGGTACCCGATTGTTTCTGTAGTCTATTTTAGG